ATGACACCACTCTGATGGCAGAAAGTGAGGAGGAATTAAAGAACCTTGTAATGAGAGTGAAAGAGGAGAGTGCAAAAAACGGTCTGAAGCTCAACATCAGAAAAACTAAGATCATGGCCACTGGTCCCATCACCTCCTGGGAAATAGAAGGGGAAGATATGGAGGCAGTGTCAAATTTTATCTTCCTGGGCTCCATGATCACTGCAGATGGGGACAGCAGCCACGAAATTAAAAGCCGTCTGCTTCTTGGGAGGAAAGCGATGACAAATCTTGACAGCATCTTAAAAAGCAGAGACATCACCTTGCCGACAAAGGTCCACATAGTCAAAGCTATGGTTTTTCCAGTAGCAATGTATGGAAGTGAGAGCTGGACCATAAAGAAAGCCATCCGCCAAAGAATTTATGCTTTTGAATTGTGGTGCTGGAGGAGGCTTTTGAGAGTCCCCCGGACTGCAAAGAGATCAAACCTATCCATTTTGAAGGAAATCAAACTTGAGTGCTGACTGGAAGGACAGATCCTGAAGCTGAGGCTCCAATACTTTGGCCATCTCATGAGAAGAGAAGACTCCTTGGAAAAGCCTTTGATATTGGGAAAGTGTGAAGGCAAGAGGAGAAGGGGACGACAGAGGATGAGATGGTTGGACAATGTCATTGAAGCAACCAACATGAATTTGACCCAACTCCGGGAGGCAGTGGAAGACAGGAGGGCCTGTTGTGCTCTGGTTCATGGGTTGAACACGACTAAACAAGTAAACAACAACAAGCTTCGATTACACTGTCCATGCATCTTGACTCCTACAGGGCCAGTTAAAATGAAACCAAACGTCTGCAACCCCTACCCTAGATCAGAAGGGAAATGAAATCAAAGGGAGCTGTGTGGTCAATGCAAAATACTGTACAAACGCAAAAGTAGGTAGTGCCTATATAGACCTCTAAAAAAATCATCATGCAATTATTAAGCCTTTATTATTGTTTTCAGTCGTCCATAAAGGTATTGAGGATGCCTGTGTTTGCTTAAAATGTTTCCATCACAAAGCAGCTGCACTGTATTAATTTTACAACTGCCCCAGCATTACACAATGCCTGTTTTCAGGGTATCAATCGAATGAATGAATGAATGAAATGAATAAATAAACAAATAAACAAACAAACTTGAATTACAGATTTGGAGGGGGAAGGTGGGATCAAGTAAATACATAAAACTAAAAGAAATAATGATGATGATAATAATAATTATAGAATGAAGAAAGGTCTGTATCATTGACATTGCAATTCCAGGAGTTGAAAATAATTAATTGGAAAAACTAACAAAATGCAGAGACCTACCTGGCAATCAAAACATCTCGCTTGTGGGTGAAACAATGAAGAAATTCCACACAGTATTATAAGCAGCTGCAGATCTCAGAAATCACATCATCAGAGCTACAAAAACGCCAATATTAGGAATAGCATACATACTGTGCCAATATTTAACCGATACAAGTTTTAACCGCCTAGAGTGGTCCGGTGGGCCAGATAGGCGGGGTATAAATCAAATAAATAAATAAAATTAATTACAGTAATTAATTAACCAAAAACCTAAGTGTGTTGTATAACGCATATCAATGTTTTTATAATTTTGATTGACTCTGCCTTGTTTTTTTTTATCGTCGTCGTCTGAATTTACCTATACTAGCAGTTGTCATTGGGGGGGTGTCATCAGTGAATGCACATCATCCACCACCCTCTGAAAACAGAGAGAACCAGTAGTTTGAGCTTTTGTGCCACAGTGTGGGAGGGCAATTTCCCCTCTTTAATATCTCTGGGGTTTTTTAAAATGTACCCGAGAAGGCTAGAGGCATGAGACCTATGAGTTCATTTCCTGACTTAAATTTTTTAGATAGATTAGGCATCCTTCAGTCTTGAGAGACTATGGTAACGTGCTCTGTATGGAGGACTTGGAACAGTGTCTGGGGTGGCTGAGAAAGCCAATTCGAGAGTGACAATCCCTTCCACACTGAGGACAGATACAGTCTGTCCCTTCTCCAGATCCCTGAATTTGCTGGTTTCGAGACTGCCTCTTTGCCTTGGCCTGCTGGACAAGGGTCTCTTCAAATTGGGAGGCCATGCTGCACCGCTCAGATGTCAGGGTTTCCCATCTGTTGAGGTCCATTCCCAAGGCCTTCAGATCCTGCTTGCAGATATCCTTGTATCGCAGCTGTGGTCTCCCTCTGGGTCACTTTCCCTGACTTAAAATACTTATCTGTGAAAGTGAATTGCAAGGGACAGATGGGGTATCTTTAATAACAGTAGTCTACCTAGTCTGGTTGTTGCACCTCCTCCCTCCACCTGTTCTTCCAAAAAAAAGGGGGGGAGGGAGAACCGACACCCAGCTAATGAACAAGGTCATCAGTCATAACTCCTATGGAGAGAACTGCTGTTCCTGATTTTTTTTTTAGTGAGTCCAACGTGTCTTTGCTACTTTTTATTTCCTAAGAAATAACCTCTCTGCGTTGCAGAGGAAGGAAAACACCATGCCAATCCTCAATGCATCATCCAAAGGAAATGTCTCAGGATGTCTGCTGGAGATTGCCCAAAAATCTACTTAAGAACTTCTGAGATTCCAAAGAAAAAGGAATATACCAACCAAAGACATAAATATTTCCCCAACCCCCTATCTAGCAGTTACGACCAGGAGGAAGATTCACAAGGATGCTGGAAATCCTGGCAAGAAAACCTTCCCAAAATGGCTTTGGGCAGCCCTTCGCACATGAGGCTAGCTCCACATTGTATCCCACTGCTAATGCCAAAATAATACTTGTGTTTTTCTTAAGCAAGGGAGAGCGTAGTTGGAGGCAAAAGAAAGGTTTTTATTTAATGTGCACCTGAGGATGTACACAAGCACAATGCAGGCGTATTCCCAAGCCCATGAGGCTTTAACACCAGTTTTTATAGAAATTAAAGAATGAAAGACACAGACACATTATTCATCAAGCAGGCTGGTAGTCAGGAAATTTCTGACACTGAATCATGATGGGATATTTGACACAGATCTCAGAAGTAATAAACTAATCCTTCTCTTGTATGCCTTAACGCATAGTAAGCTAATTATTCCTTGACCCGGAAAACAGAATCATTCATTCAGGATCAAAACTGTTGTGTTCCTTAAACTATAACACAAATAGGCTTACATCAGAAGAGCAGATGCAGTATTCCATGAAAAATTACATTAAAATACAGAAGTTAGTCTTTAAGGTGCCACTTTTTTTGTTGTTTTGCTTCATTTTTTTGTTTTCCACTTTTGTTTTGTGTTTCTTGTTAGTTAAGGGAGACGGCCCAGAGGAGATCTCTGCCGGCAGGTTCCATTTTAAATACATCCAATAGAAGCTAATATAGGATACAAACTAATAAAGAATTATCAATCATTTCTCTTCGCTATCCAGTTGAGATTTCCCTAAACCGAATGTTCTACCATTTAGATATCAGACCTAACCTTCCGGCTTGCAGTTACCTTCCACAGAACAGGAATTCGGTTGCAATCTGGGTGACCCCAATATGTGGAATGAGAATAAAAATAAATGTGCGCTGTGAAGTCAATTCTGACTTATGGCAACTCTTTAGGTAGAGTGCACTCAGAAGTGGTTTCCCATTCCCTTCTTCTGGGGACATTTCTGGGACTGCGCAGCTTGCCCAAGGTTACACAGGCTGGTTCTTCTTTTCAAGAGGCAGAGTGGGGAATCAAACTCACAACCTCTCCGTCTGCTAAGCCACTGAGCTATCGAGCCAGGCATACGGTGCCCTTGTTACTCACTCACTGTGTTGCTTCTCCTTGGTGACAGTCTAACCCTGCAACCATCTGTGACCAGCTACACGCTGCAGCTGCATTAACACACCCCATGGTGGGTCTTCCCATTTCCAAATGCGGTCACGTGGCATAAACGGGTGAGAGCCAAGACTTTGTAAAATTTAAATCCTGGCTCTTGGGTACTGGCTACTCATCATACCTGGAAAATCCTCATTCTGATGGATGGGAATTGAGAGCAAAAGCAGGGGTTTTTAAATAAGAAGATGACACCAATGAGATCTACAGAAGGATATAGTGTGGGAATTTTGTTAGATCTGAGCTAACTGGAGTTGCCTTGGCTTCAGGGGCCCTCCGTAAGCAAAAATTAACATGGAACTCGACGTTTTTTCTACGATTCTACTTGACACCTGTAGGAAGGGTGCTGTTCAACTAGAAAAGGGACAAAGGCAGGGTGAATAAAGCCAGCAAGTAATTAGAGCATTGTTCCTCCAAAAGGAAAGTGTTTCTTCTGCAGTTCTTGGTTTTTAGGGAAAGGAAAGGAAGGGGATAATTGAAAGAACCTAAGACACTTCTGACATCATAAATTCAAGAGGATGCACCCTGCCCTTTTAAAAAGAGAGATAAATATATCTCTGTCTGCGATCAGCACAGAACTGAACGTTATCCTCCACCAAGATAGTAAATGTGTGTTAAAAATTCAGACTATGGAGAAGTGCCTGCACTATTTTCAGCTGGGTGGATTCTTGGCTGATTTCTGAGACCCAAAGGGATCTCCCCACCCCATACCCTCTTGAACGATCTCTCTCTCCCTCTGTGAAAAGGAACGTTGGCCCCTCCGGCTGAAGCTCTTTCTGCACTCCAGACGCTTCCTACCCTGTGTGGATTCTCATATGGCAAGCAAGGTTCGTGCTGCGGCTGAAGCGCTTCCCGCATGCCAAGCACTCAAACGGTTTCTCCCCCGTGTGGACTCTCATATGGGAAGCACGGTGGGTGCTCTGGCTGAAGCTCTTCCCACACTCCAGGCATTTAAAGGGTTTCTCCCCTGTGTGAGTCCTTTGATGGGAACTCAGGCTGCTTCTGTCACGGAAGGTCTTCCCGCACTCCACGCATTCGAAGGGCTTCTCTCCCGTATGGATTCGATGATGGAATGTGAGGCTCCCACTGTGGCTGAAGCACTTTCCACAGGTGGGGCATTTGAAAGGCTTCTCCCCGGTGTGGATGCGTTGATGGGAATTAAGGTTGCTCCTCACACTGAAGCTTTTCCCACACAGCGAGCACTTAAACGGCTTCTCCCCAGTGTGGACTCGCATGTGGTAAGCCAAGTGGGTGCTGTGGCTGAACCTCTTCCCACATTCCAAGCAGGTGAACGGCTTCTCCCCCGTGTGGATCCGCACGTGGTCAGCGAGGTGGGTATTGCGGCTGAACCGCTTCCCACACGCCAGGCACTCAAACGATTTCTCTCCCATGTGAATGATCTTACGACAAAAAAGATCGGCGCTCGGAGTGAGGCTCTTTCCACGGTCCAAGTCTCCAAACGGCTTCTCTCCTCTGCCTGTTCTCAGATCTTTTTCAGGGGATGATTTGTTTAAAAATATCGTGCTGTATTCTGAGCGCTGCAAGAGCCTGCGCCCGACATGGACCTTCCAATGAGCGTTTAGACTGGCTTGAGAGCCGAAAACTTTCTTGCACACTGAGCACTTGTAGCTTTTGCTGCTTTCATCCATTTTCTCTTTGAATGGAGTTTCGTGAAAACTTCCATGCGGAGAAAAAAAGGATTCATTCTTCTTCATCTCGGTTTCAGTCTTCATCTTCTGGGGCTTCTTCTCCTTCTCCTCTCCTTTTTCCAACACCTGAAGAGGTTCTTCCTCACCCTTCCTCTCTCCCACACCAGGAGCTGAAAGAGAAAAAGAAAAGAAAACCTGGCTGTGGTGAAAATTAAAAATGGAGTCTCAAAACAGGAAACAAAACCTAGCAAGTACAGTGGTGCCTCACATATGACGTTAATTCGTTCCAGCGAAATCGGCATATAACGTTAATTCGTTCCAGCGAAATCGCTGTAGAACGAAAACGTTGTAATGCAAAAATAAAAAATCCATTGAAACACATTAAAACCCGTTTAATGCATTCCAATGGGCTAAAATCTCACCGTCCAGCGAAGATCCTCTGTAGAGCGGCCATTTTTGGTGGCTGTCTTGCAAGGAATCTGTCCCAGAAAACAGCGGGGAGCCATTTTATTTACCCGGCAACCATTTTGAAACAGCCGATCTGATGTAGGAAAATCGTCGTTTTGCGAAGAATCAGTTCCCGAAGCAGGGAACCAATCATCGCAAAGCGAAAAAAGCCTATTCAGACCATCGTTTTGCGATCGCAAAAACATCGTCGTAATGCAGTTTCGTCATAATGCAGGGCAATCATAAAGCAGGGCACGACTGTATACATTAACTTGGATTCCCAGGGTGGTGTAGTGGATAGAGTCATTAACTTGGATCCCAGGGTGGTGTAGTGGATAGGACTCCGGAGAACAGGGTTCGAATCCCCACACAGCCATGGAAACTCAGTGGAACTGTAGAATCGGCAAACCATTCCTTAGATATCTCACTGACTTTGAAAGCCTTATTCAGATTAGTTCCGACTTGATAACACAGAACACATACATACATTAACCACAATTAACTAGAAACACATCATCTATGGAAAACCTTTGACTCCACAGTCAAAGAAAGCACCAGGAGGTTGTATAAATACTGTGTATTTTGAGGCCATAGTGATGTTGCTCATAAATTGGTTTCACCAACTGAACTTTAATTTATCTTAAAGGCTTGAAGATGAATGGATTTATTCAAATGTGATCTTATCATAAAATCTTTAAGATTAACAAATTAGTTTGAGTGTGATCTTATTTCGATGTCGTTGTATTACTCATAAATTAGTTTCATTAATTTAACTTTAGTTTAAAATTAACAAATTTATTTGACTGTGGTCTTATACCATGACTCATACATTTGTCCATCTTTAAGGTGCCACAGTACTTTTGTTAATTTTCTTTCTCCCCGCCCCCGGTTTTTTGAAATAGAATAACATTGGGTTTTATTTAAGAAAGTGCTACAGGGGAATGTAAAGAAAAGCTCACCCAGAGACACCACGTGGGCAAAATTCTCCACCATGACTTCCCAGTGCAGAGCCCTCTGGCCCGGATCCAGCAGCGCCCACTCCTCCTCGGAGAAATGCATAGCGATGTCCTCAAAGGCGACCGGACCCTGGAAGAACAAGAATTTTTTTCAAATTCTCAGCCACACCACAATTGTCCACCCTTTCTAAAGTCCAGTCCTGAAAATAGTCATAACCATCGGAGGACTTGACCCTTCACTTCTCACACTTCCAACTTTTCCTATCGGCATTTTGGAAGGCGGAGGAAACTTCTTTTGGTTGGAAGGAGATGTAACAAAGTACAGTGGTACCCAGGCTCAGATCTCCCAATTCCTTTCCTCCTACCTGTTCTGGCTGCTTGCGTGTTGTTTCCATTTCTCCACAAAGAGAGGAGTGAGGATCTGTCCCCAATGCATTTCCACTGTCTGCAAGGGAGACCAAAGGGGTGAGAAGACATCTATTCATCCAGAAATATTTTATTCCGTAAGTTTACTAAAAAAGAATGCCTCTTCCTATTTGCTCATGAGCCTGACGTTCAACATCTATATGAATGCAGAAGAAATGCAACTCAACTTATAGACATAGAAGGAGACTTAAGAGAAGTAAACTAAATATCGATGTCCCACCTGGTTTCTTACTTGGTAAGGCAGGCCCTCCATCTTCCTCTCGCGTATCCTTCAGAAGGAGATGGGTCAATCCTGGATATGAAGGAGTGTCTACGGCCTGAGGGAAACCAGTGACCAATTGAGAAGGTTCCTGCGTGCGAAACAAAATACAGTGGTACCTCGCAAGACGAAATTAATCCGTTCCATGGTTAATGCCGTCTAGCAAAAATTTTGTATTGCGAGGCACGGTTTCCCATAGGAATGCATTGAAATTTAATTAATGTGTTCCTATGGGAGGAAAAAGTCCAAAACAAATTTTTTTTTAGAATAAATCACCTACCTGTAGACTGAGCCCGGCTCCTCACACTGCCTTGATAGCCAAACAGCTCAGAGCCGGCACCAAGCAGGGAGCGGGCAGCCTTTTTGTGCTCTTCTCTGCTCCAGCCCCTCCTCCTCCCGCCTCACAGCTGATCGGCGCTGAGTCTTAGAAGCTTCCCCAGGCTTGCCCAGCAGGTAAACAGGCAGTGGAAATGCACTGGAGAAGCCTCTGAAAGTGGTGCTCTGCCGGGGGTGGGTGGCAGGGTCAGGCCCGACCCTGTGACAATCAGCTATGAGGCAGGGAGGGAGCAGAGAAGAGCACACACACTCCGCCCCCCCAGCAAAGCACCGCTTTCAAAAGCCTCCCGGTGCCAAACAGGGCCCACAGGAAAAATCATCTTGTGAGGTACCAAAACCCTCGCCGGATCCATTCATCTAGCGAGTTTTTTGTCCGGCGAGGTAATCGTCTTGCGGGGCACCACTGTAAGGACTATCAACTCAGGAACAGAGAAAGAAATTAAAGAATACCTAGTACAGGAAGGGGAGTCATCAAATACAAAAAAGAGAAGGCACGTTCTCAGCCCCTCAGGAAAACCAAAAGTCTCACCAGCTTCTCCTCCTGCTTCTTCTCCGCTGCCTGGCTCAGGAGGAAACCTTCCGCCAGGGACACGGCCTGGGAAGTGGATTCCGGCTTGCACTCTCTGACCCAGATCTTCATCGCTGGTGGGAGGACAATCAAGAACTGTTCGAGGACAATCAGGTCCAGCATCTCAGCCTTGGTGTGTTTTTCTGGCTTCAGCCACTGACGGCAGAGACGGTGGAGTTGGCTGCAAACCACCCGGGGCCCCTCATCTTCCTGGTAGCAGAACTCCCGGAAAGGCTGGCGCTGAACATCGGGGCCGAAAGAGTCTCCATGGAGGTTGGTCTGCGCAGTTCTTCTGGGGAATTCCTCATTCCTCCAAACCTCCATGTCCTTTGGCTGTCTCTCGGCTTCAGCGCCAACAGAGCCTTGTACGTTCATCTCCTCTGAAGGAGCCAATGGAACAGAACGAACAGGTCCTTCTACTTCTCTCTGCAGGAATGGCAGAAAGAAAAAGAATAGGAGGAGGAGCAAGACACGGGGAGGTTGTGTTACGCAGAAAACCCCAGTTGAAGGATGGCTCTGGATGACAACCGCAGGAATAAAGACGGCTGCCAGGGCTCTGTCCTTCCCCTCTTGTCACCTCCACACCTCTCCTGCCTTCTCTGCATCGCTGCTACCAACTTCCTCAAAACGTAAGAGGAAGACACCCCCTAGGGAGGCTGAAACAAAGACGAAAAGGTTCTTTACCAGATGACAGGTATGACACGCAAGTGCATTTGGCATCATTTTAATTTCAAGATGCCTTTTAAAAAAACTCAATCTAGTATAATTTGTATATGTTCAAAACCAGGGTTTCTGCTGAAATGCTTTATTGCTAGAAAAATTCTAATTCCCTGCCTTGTTCAGCGTCTACATCCCTGCTACACACTTTGGCCCTCTGCATCTCTTTCCAGGCCTCCCATTGCTGCCATCAGGGAAGGCTGACAAGCCCCAATGCTGGTGCTTTCCATCTGGTCTCTCTTTAACTGGCACAAGCTTTAACTTGGACAAAATGTCCAAGGGGACATCCAGGCATGCTCTCGCTCTCTCTCCCCAGGCCCTGACCTTTCCTCTTTTGTGGTGCATCCCTAGTGCACAGAAGCACAGCACAAGCTTGCACGCATGCCTGGGGTGAGCTGGGAGAGGCTGGAGATAAGTGCCTAACTTTTTAAGCGACACTAGACAACAAACAGAACATTTATTTATTTTTATTTATTTATTGTCATTGTAAGTATATACACAGTATACCCATACAATGAAATTCACAGACACTGAGAGGCCAGACACACACACACTCCTCCAAAACTACCTGCCCTGAGATTTTTCTCTCTGCCCAGGTGAGAAAAATCTGAAAGTGTCGATAAGCAAGCACTTCTCCAACAGGAGACCTGGGGAAGCCCAGCACTTCCTTGGGACTTTAGCTGTCACTCTGGGACCAGATTACATACTGAAGCTGCATGGAGAATCATTCATGGACTTACCCAGGCTCTTAATAACTGAACACAAAAGAATATTAACAGAGCAGCAATTGTCTCTCTCTCCTGGGACCAGATTACATACTGAAGTTGAATGGAGAATAATTCATGGACTTACCCAGGCTCTTAATGACTGAACCCAAAAGGGCATTAACACAGCAGCAATTGTCATGCACACATCCTGGAAGAAGAAAGCCTTGCACCACTTTTTAAACACCTCCAGGGGTGCAAGAGAGGTACAGTGAAGGGTGTAAAACCACCTCCCTGAGATCCTATGCACAACCTCCCCCCTTCAAACAGTGCCCTTACAGAGACCATCCCTGTAGACAGAACAGACTGGGGCTCCTGATCGGCCCCCTCCCGCCCCTTCCCGACTCTGCAGAGCCTCCTCCCAGTCCAACCAGCACACATACCAGTGCAGATGCTAATCCGTGGGAAGGTCTTAGCTTTGCAGACTGGAAGGAAGGCGATCCTGGAGGACGAAGAGATTAATGTTTTGTGTTTTTTTGCGGGGGTGGGATTATTGCGATCACTTGCTCCGGCCTGGGAGGGAGGGAGGGAAGGGCGCCTGACTCTTGGAGGGACCCCCTGCCTTGCATGAAAAGTCTGTAAGTGGAGCCATCTGTAAGTCGAGGGTCCACGGTATATAAAAATAGTCTGTCCTGTCTAATGGCAGAAGATGAGAAAGATGGCCATTCCTCCCCTACAATTCTTCATCTTCCCCGTCTCTTTTACATGATTCCCGTCTTTGACCAAGTTAGCTCCAATCTGGTACTGTATCTCCTTCCTGTGTTACATTTTGCTAAAATGTGAAACAATGTTGTGATTCTATGGCTTTAACCCTTTCGGAGGAGACCAGAAATTGGGAAGAGGAAGCCGCGCCCCCCCCCCGGCTAAAAACATCCTCCCGTTTATTGGTATAAAAACATTGTTGGGTGCAATTTGCAGCTGGAAGAAACTTGCCAGGGCTGGATGCTGTACTTTGAAACCCCACCCTGCCTTTATTTAAATATTAAAACCTGTTCTCCTGTAACCTGACATGTTTTTCTGTGTGTGATGGATGCCTTTGTGAGCAACTTCAAGGCACGCATAAGTCCAGGGGGGGGAGGCAAAAAAAATAACATAAACCTCTTAATTTCTGTACTGATTTTCAGTTTGTTAGATCCTGTGTTTTACAACTCTTCTCTATGGAGGGTGAAACAGCTTCTGGGAGAGAAGGAAGACTGGAGGAAAAAAGATCCATGCCTGTTATGGATCCCACTTCGTAGCAATACTTACATGTCTGGGATCAAAGCCTCTTCTCTATGGAGGGTGAAACAGCTTTTGGGAGAGAAGGAAGACTGGAGGAAAAAAGATCCATGCCTGTTATGGATCCCACTTTGTAGCAACACTTACATTTCCGGAAACATTAAAATGCCAAGACTGGATGATAACCCTGGACTACCCTGCAGGACTGCCGTTCATTCTCCCTCCCGCCACCTGTTTTGCCTGCCTGCCTATCTATCATCTGCTGCTGTTGCTTAGTCGACAAGTCATCTCCGACTCCTTGTGACCCCATGGACCAGAGGTGCCGTTCATTCTCCCTGCCTTCACCTGTCTTGACTGCCTGCCTATCTATCATCATCTGTTGTTGCTTAGTCATCATCTCCGACTATTCGTGACCCCATGGACCAGAGCACGCCCGGCCTCCTGTCTTCCACTGCCTCCCGGAGTTGGGTCAAAGTCCTGTTGGTTACTTCGACGACATTGTCCTCCATCTCGTCCTCTGTCGTCCCCTTCTCCTCTTTCCCTCACACTTTCCTAACATCAGGGTTTTTTCCCAGGGAGTCTCCTCTTCTCATGAGATGGCCAAAGTACTGGAGCCTCAGCTTCAGGATCTGTCCTTCCATTGGGCACTCAGGGTTGATTTCCTTCAGAATGGATAGGTTTGTTCTCCTTGCATTCTAGGGGACCCTCAACAGCGTCCTCCAGCACCACAATTCTTTATGGTCCAGCTCTTCTACCCTGCCCATTTAGTGGTAAGCCACTACTCTGGGCAGCCTTCATTAGTTCTCGAAAATAAGGATAAGCACTAGAAGTGTCATTTGGCGTTTGTGTGTTTTTTGTTTTTTTGACTCCACCTCCCAGACGTTTCCCAAGAATTTCCCTGGCAGAATTCCAGGAGTTCTAGCCCATAGACACGTCTCTTTCGCTCACCTGGAACAGGGCCTCGCTCAGAGGCTTCTGAGGCCTGTGTTTCCTGTTCTTTATGAAAACCAAAACCAGTGCCCCGTTGTCTCCTCAGAGGTGTAGTCTCACTGACCATAAGGGTCCACATAAGGCTTTCTCAAAGAAAGAATACCCCACAGGAAGACCTCGGCCTCCCAGGAAGCACCGGGGCAGTTTCCCTTTTCAGCTCTTCAGAAGGCACCCTCTGAGAGAGCAGCCATTTTCTATCTCCTTTTTTCGCCACTGTCTTCCTACAAGTTATTCTTGAGTTCCAGGGCCCCACCTTCAACAAGGAAAGGCTTTGGCTGTGTTCAGACAAGGACACAACACAAACAGATGAATCGGTGGCCTCCTTGAAAGCTTCCTGGGCTACACAGCATCCCCCACCCCCAGCTGCGAATGGCTGCTCTAGAGCAGGGGTCCCCAATCTTGGGCATCCAGATGTTATCGGACTTCAATTCCCACAAATCCTGGCCAGCAGAGGTGCTGGTGAAGGCTTCTGAGAGTTGTAGTCCAAGAACATCTGGAGGCCCCAAGTTTGGGGACCACTTCTCTAGAGAACCTAAAAGGCAACAAAACTATGACTCTCAGGGGAAAAAAAACGGTTGGCACACCGTTAAAGAGTTAAAGGAACCGGGCTATCAGTCACAAAAGGCTCATTTTGTCAATTAAAATCAGATGTTCTTTCAGTTGTAAGAAAGAATTAAGACTAGAAATCCTGTATTGGCAGCGTCTTCAGATCGGACAGGAGGGATCAAATACAGTTCCTCGCAGTTTAGTAAACCACTGCTTTGCACTCAATTTTTTGAAACCGTTGTTAAGACTGGGTCCTCCGTTACTCTTAAGAGTCTTGCCAGGAGGTATATAACAATGTGACACTGATTTCCCCGACACCTCATCTTAACATATGGGGCAAGAAGAAAGCATTTATTAATGTTAGCAGTGCAATCAGTAGATAGAGAAATTTAAATTCCAGAATCCATATGCTAGCTTTTATAGAAGTTGTATAAAATGTCAACAATTTTTAAAAAAACAGCCTGTTTTCTTTTACATAGTCTTTTATCCCATTTTCTCGATGTCTCCAAGTTGAAACATTTCTTTCACATCTGGCCCACCACGGAATATAGAATTCATTTGGTACCTTTTCAGGCAAGGATAGCCTGCCTCTGTTAATGGAGGCTTTGTTTAAAACAAGGAAAATGCATGAGTGTCTACATATCTCCATGCCTTATTGAGAGCAGGCTTAGCGATGCCACAAAGTATAAAGAAAGGACACTGGCTACTTTAGGACATTAATACATTTGTTAAGAGCACAGCACATCTGCTTCTGTCTTAAGAGTTACAAGGAGGAAGTATCTCCTCACACTCATATATGTGGTTTGATACAGGGCTCAAACCCTGCCTCTGCCTTCCACTCCATCTCTGCACCACGATACTTCTGCTTTTTGACAGTCCAAGCAAAAGCCAGCTACACACTTCAGCCCCTCTTGAGGTGGAGTCCAGGATGGGTTTTCACACTTCCACAGCAGCCCAAACGTAAAGGTCCCAAGACTTTATGAAAACTATACAGTAGGATGGGAAATTACTTCCAAGCCCACCCACAGATGTGGAAAAATGTGGATTATATCAAACTCTGTTAGAATAGCAAAAGCTATACTGTACGTAGTATGGTTTCTAGATGCCTCTAGCAGCCAGTTCTGGTAATAACATTGTGGAAATACAGTATACAGTGGTGTCTCGCTTGACGATGTGAATTCTTTCCAGCGAAATCGCTAGAGCGAAAACATCGTCAAACAAAATAAAAAAAACCCCACTAAAACGCATTGAAAACCATTCAATGGGTTCCAATAGGCTGAATATCTGCTCGTCCAGCGAAGATCCTCCATACAGCGGCCATTTTCGGTGCCTGTAAAGCAAGGAATCTGTCCTAGAAAACAGAGGGGAGCCACTGTCAACGTAAAGTGGATTTGTCATAGAGTGGGGTAATCGTCCAATGGGGCACAACTGTATTTCTCTAATGAATGCTATACATAGTATGGTCTCTGGCTCTCTCAAGTGGCCTTCATCGTTAGAAATATATACCATATTTCTAATTTTTTTTCTTTTAATATTTTTAATACTTTCAGACCATGGATAAGTGAATACTCATCCTGTGGATAAGGGGATCCTATTGTAATGTGCTGGCTCATGGATGAACTATATACCTCATGATCCTTGGAAAAGTCTGATTGTAAGAAATGCTGCTGTAGAACAAATGTTGTGGAACCATAAAAAGAGAAGAGGAGGGAGGAGGGGAAAAAATCAGGACCTATGGAAGAAAGAACATGAACTCCTGAAGTTCTTGGCCTTGTTTTTCCCCTGTGTGAATTCTCATGTGAGAGCGAAAACTTTCCCCGTGATAGAAAGTCTCGTCACACTGCACGCACTTCAACGGTTTCTCCTCTGTGTGGATTTTTATATGGGAACAGAGGGTGCTTCTGTGCCGGAAGCTCTTTCCGCATTCGGAGCACTGAAAGGACTTCTCTCCGGTGTGGATCTTTTGGTGGCGACTAAGCGTGCTTCTAGTTCTGAAGTTCTTCCCACATTCCAAGCACGGAAACGGTTTCTCCCCTCTGTGGATTCTCATATGGAAAACCAAGCTTCGGTTGTAACCCAACCTTTTCCCGCATTCCAGGCATTCAAAGGGTTTCTCCCCTGTGTGGATCTTTCGATGGGATCTAAGAGAACTTCTGTCACTGAAGCTCTTCCCACATTCCACGCAGGTAAAGGGTTTCTCCCCGGTGTGGACCCTCATATGGTCAGCAAGGTGCTTTCTCCGACTGAAGGATTTTCCACATTCAGAGCACGAAAATGGTTTCGTCCCTGTCTGGAGCCCCATATAATGAGCAAGGCTTGTGTTGTGGCTGAATTTCTTTCCAAAATCGGGACACTCAAAAGATTTATCCCCTGTGTGGAGTGTTATATGAGAAGCAAAGTCTGCGCTCTCATTTATGCCTTTGTCACCGTCCATGTATCTAAATGGCTCCTCTTCTCTAGGTATGCTTAGATCTTTTTCTGGGGCTAAAGTATGACAAAAATCCTCACTGTATCCTGAGCGTGCCATCGTTTTTCTCCCTCGGTGGATCTCCCACTGAGTATTTAGACTGACGTGAAATTGGAAGCTTTCCTTGTACACCGGGTCCTCGAGAGTTTTGCTGCTTTGGTTCATGCCTTCTTGGACACAATGTTCACCGGAATTTTCATGTGGAACAGGAAAGGACTCGTCCCTCTTGTCTTCACTTTCAGTTTTCATCCCCTGGGGTCTCTCCTCTTCAGTGACTTTTTCCAAGCATACTTGCCTTTCTTCCTCCGACCTGGTCCCTCCCACACCAGGAGCTGAAAGAAAACAGAAAACAAAAACCTGGATGTTCTGAAAATGTCAAATGGAGTCTCAAATGGGGAAACAAAACCCATCAAGCATAAACTAACTTATCCACAATTAAGCGGAAACGTGTCACCTGCAGAAGACTTTTGGTTCCAGAGATGGATATACTATCGGAAGTGTTGAAAGACCGTCCAGTACAAAAGGCAACTGAACGATGGGATTTATTATATAAATGGCTTGAGTCAGTAGATAGAGCTTGTTAACCATAGACGTAAACTAAGAGGTTAGTGCATGCAGAAATCTGGAAGGGCAAACTGTAGAAAGGCAAAAAATGGACTTGATATTGTAACGCGAATACTGCAAGTAGTAATCTGGAAGGGCAATCAAACTGTAGAAAGGCGAAAAATGGACTTGATATTGTAACGCGAATAACAGGTTTTGATGAAAGTATATTTTAAGTTCGCCTTCTTCCCTCCCTTTTTTGTCCATTCCCTTTGCCTTCTGTACCCTTTACCCTATCCCTAGGGTATTTTTTCAATTTTTAAGTCTTCTGGCTCCACACTCAAACACCCTTGGGAAGAAAGCCACAAGGATGCTGTTAAAGGTAAAGCTTCCACTTGACATTTAGTTCAGTTGTGTCTGACTCTAGTGCGCGGTGCTCACCCCTGTCTCCAAGCTGTAGAGCCAGTATTTGTCCGTAGACAGTTTCCATGGTCATGTGGCCAGCACGATTAGACGCAGAACGCCATTACCTTCCCACTGAGGTGGTACCTATTTATCTACTCGCATTTTTACATGCTTTCAAACGGCTAGGTTGGCAGGAGCTGGGATTAGGGTGCATACTTACAAACAATAAGAACAACAGCTTTGCCCCTGTGTTACTTCACAGTACAACATGCTCCTGCCCTATGGTATAAAGCAGCACATGCCAAACAAGTGGATTTGTTTGGCATGTGCTGCTTTATACCACTATTTATTTAATATTTTATTTATTTATTTAACTTACATGCCACCCACACTACCCAAAGGTCTCTGGGCAGCTAAGAACAATTTGAATACAATTAAACAGATAAAAAGATAAAACAATTAAAATACAATTAAAATTAATGAACCACGCAGGACTATTACTGAAACCCATCCTCACTGAAAAGGTCTAGTATTTGACTGGCATTGCCCCTCTGAAGTACATCAAGAGGTGCTAGCAAATAATGAACAAAATAACAGCAAACCCACCAGCTTCGGGCACCAAATCCTTTGAGGATGGCTAAAACCAAGGAAAAGTTTTCTGCCCTCTCAGACTTTAAATACTAAATATTAATCTATTAAGAGGCAAAGCTAAACCTATGGAGGAAAAAAACCATACAACTTGCTGAATGGATGAAGAGCATTTCCCACCAAGAAAAGACTCTGGAAGTCACTTAAGAGAAATCAAAGTAGGAAAATCAAAGGATAATCAGGTAATTAATGCCTGATTCTTTCTTCTTCTCTTGGTTTATTTTCTCTTCTCCATCTTGAAGAACTGGCTATTTTATGTAATAATTTCTTTTTTGTTATATTTATTTGTTGTTTCATGTGTTTGTAACCTGCCAGATAGGCAGAATATAAATAAATAAATGAATGAATGAATGAATAGAATTAAATTACTTGGATATAGAACTATGGATAAATTCAATCAATGCAGCACTTATGTGCAAGCAATTTATGCCTCACCATGCATACAAAAAGAAGATCTAGCCAATAGGTGGGGCATCGTTACTGAAATAGGCCACTTCTGGTCAAAAATAATTAATTATTTCAATTTTTAAAAATTGTTTAAATCTGATTTTTATATTTTAGAAGTGTCCATTAGGAGTGTCACAGTATTTGCGCAATACTCGGCCACAAAGAAAGAAAACGTTTGGTTGAATTGTGACTTACCAAACCAAAGAGCCTTTAGGGTCAGCATATTTATTTCAGGATGACTTTTTTTCCGGTTGCAACACCCTTTTTCAGGCACGTCGCTGTTGCAGGTGGTCGGTGGAGACATAAATTTGCCATAAGGCTTTCGTTACCATTTTCGGTTTGATGTTTTAGTTTTGCAGCAAGCCGCCCACGCGGCTGTCTCTCTGAAAAGAGAGGGAACGATGGAAAGGAAAGGAAAACTTACCTAAAGACACCAGGTGGACCAGATTCTCTTCCATGACTTCCCAGTGGAGAGTCCTCTGCGTTGCATCCAGCAGAGCCCACTCCTCCTCGGAGAAATACACAGCCACCTCCTCAAAGGCTAGCAGACCCTGCAAGAAAAGGAAGCTCCTTAACCTTACAGACCCCACAATTGTTCTAATTTTTAAAAGTACACTGGTGCCTCGTTAGACGATGTTAATTCGTTCAGTGAAAATCAAGTGAAAATCACTGTTGTATGAAAACATCGTCTAGCGAAGCACGGTTCCCCATTGGAATGCACTGACATCCGTTTAATGCATTCCAATGGGGACAAATTGTCATCGTTTTGCGAAGATCGCCCATAGGGAAACCGTTTTGCAAAGCGCTGATCAGCTGTCAAAATTGTCATCTAACGAAAAACGGTCCCAAAAACACCCGTTTTGCGAAGCACCAATCAGCTGTCAAAATTGTCATTTAGCGAAAACCGGTCCCAGAAAAAAAACCGTCTTGCGAAGCATGGACTGAAACATCATCCAGTGAAAATCGCCCATAGGGAAAACCATTTTGCGAAGCGCTATAGCGCTCGCAAAAACCCGTCATCTACCGATTTCCTTGTCCCGCGAGGCAATCGTCTAGCGAGGCACTACTGTACATTCTAGAAAAGAAGCGCCTGTCAACAAGGGTCAAATTCAGTCCTTCAAAACATTGTCTAGCGATTTCCTTGTCCTGCGAGGCAATTGTCTAGTGAGGCACTACTTTACATTCTAGAAAAGAAGCGTCTGTCAACAAGGGTCAAATTCAGTCCTTCACATCTCATTTCCTCCTATTTCCTCACAAGCATTTGCGACATAAATAAATCCAACGGAGAAGCTTTTTACAGTCCCAGAGGGGAAACTAGGTATCCGGCGTCCCCTCTGTTCATCCATTTCCCCTACCTGTTCTGGCTGCACAGGGGCCATTTCCCGTCCTTCACAAAGAGGAGAGGAGCCAGGATGTATCCTCAGTGAGTTTGCAGGGTCTGGAAAGGGAAACCAAGGGGGTGGGGGTGGAAATAGGTTTATTTTTCCTAAACATATTATCACTAACATTAACAGGGGAAAGTTTCTTTTGTTGTTTTGATTAACAAAAACTTTAATGTGTATGTGAACGCAGAGGATCTGTAATTGAACTCATCAACCTGGAAGCACCTATAAGAGAGGGGGTCTGAGTAGAAGACGCTGGTGAGTTTCTCACCTGGCAGGGCAGGGCTTCCACCTGCCTCCTTCTCTTTCTTCAGGAGGAGAGGCCTCTGTCTTGGGTCCGCTGGAGTTTCCACTACCTGAGGAATGTCACTGATCAATTCTGAAAACCCTTGCATCTGAAATGAGGTTTGGGACAGCCGACAGAGGAACAAAGAAAGAAATTAAAGAACAAACAGGAAAGGATGGCAGCTATAAGAAGAGAAAGATTCTTTGGTGAAACAACACCCATAAAAGGATGGGCACTTTCTTGGACTTTCAGGAAGACCAAAACTCTCACCAGCTCCTCCTCCTGCTTCTTCTCCACTCTCTGGCTCAGGAGGAAACCTTCCGCCAGGGACACGGCCTGGGAAGTGGATTCCGGCATGCATTCTCTGACCCAGATCCTCATCTCTGGTGGGAGGACAGTCAGGAACTGTTCGAGAATGATCAGGTCCAGGATTTCCGCCTTGGTGTGTTTTTCTGGCTTCAGCCACTGACAGCAAAGGTGGGGCAGTTGGCTACAAACTGCCCGGGGCCCTTCGTCTTCCTGGTAACAGAACTGCCGGAAATGCTGACGCTGAACCTCTGTGCAGAGAGAGTCCCCATGCAGGTTGGTCTGTGCTGTTCCTTCTGGGAAGTCCTCCTTCCTCCATCCCTCCATGGCGTCCAGCTGTTTCCCAGCTTCAGCACCAACAGAGTCTTGCAAGTCCATCTCTTCCAAAAGAGCTGAAGGAACGGAAGGGGACGAGGCGTCTTCTCTCTAGAAAAAACACGCAAACATCGTAACAATTCAGGAAGAACGTGCCTTTGGTCTGGTCTGTTCACGGCCAGGAGCTCTAACCCTTGATGTGCTTTTAAGACACCAGGATTATTTCCGGGTGAGGATACGTTACCCAAACTCCCATCAGGCCACTGCCAACCAGACACAACGCTATGATTTCCACCACAGACGGACCTCCCTTGTGGCGAGAGAAAGGGAGGTTATCCAGTCCTGGAGCTTCAATGGCTAGTAATAAAATGAAATTGAATCCATGTATGAAAATGAGAAGCAAAAGAAAATAACCTGTATTAATAGAGAAGCTGTACTGTAGAGTAAGCAGATGCAATAATTCTTGGAACAGTGAAGCCAAGAAAAGGGGGCGAAAAAACTCTATACAGGATGGGTTGATGTCCAATAAAAGAAGCCACGTCCTTACCTGATTAGGGACTTGATGAACAAAAACAAGATTTAATGGCCTGGGTGGGATGGGATTTAAGAATATGAGAGGTTTTAGCCCATCAGAAGGAGATAGTTTTCCTAAGAACCTGGGAGGTCCCTCACAGAAGGAGAATGTTGGTTGTCGTCCTTGTAGGCTGCGAGGGGCACACCGACAACTTTTCCCCCCCACATCCAGAACGGCCTGGCCTGAGATTGCTCTCCCTGCATGGAGATCTAAAAAGCAACAGCCATTCCCTGCGATTTTTATCTAGCACCCTGGGGACCCCTGGGAACTGAAGGTGCATAAAGGGTCTTTACCTGATTGCTGCAGGAGTAAAACCTTGCAGACTTTAAAAAAAAGAGCAACAGGGGGAAGAATTTTTTCCCCTTTACACAGAGCAGGGCACAAGCCACCTCCACCTTCTTTAGGTCCGGCAGGATCCTCAACAGAGACCACCGAAGGGAGAGGGGTCGCTTTCCTTACCTCCATGCCCACATTCCCAGTCGGCAGAGACCTCCTCCCAGTTCAACACCACCACCCCCATCCACACCAGCATCGATGCCAATCACGGTGAAAACTGGCTTCCAAGCATCCCAATTTAAAGAGGGCGGGTGAGGGGGGGAGGATCCGCGGGGAGGGCTTGGCTTTGCAGAATAGAAGGAGCTCTCGGAGGAGAAGGTGGATTTCTGGGGGTGGGGGGTGGGAATCCCCAAAGGAGGCTCACCTGCTCTAGTCTTGGAGGGAGGGGCACCTGGATTTTCCAGGGACTCTGCCCGCCCAGCCATTCCCTTCCTCTGATCCCGCCCCCAATCATTCGTCCCTCTTTCTCAAGCCAAGGCTCCTCCGTCTCTAACATCCCCCCCCAATAGGCACTCACCCACTTCTTGGTCCCCCAAGGAGGAATCACCAGCCCCACCCGGAACTCCCGAGATGGGGCTCTGCGGGGAAGGAAAAAGCCGACGCACCTCGGAGGCAGAAACAGGACGCCAATGTTCAGCACCACTTCCCTTCTTCCTAAGGGACTCTCTGGGGCACTCCAATCAATGGTTTTAACCATTTGGGAGAATAGAAGTTCGAAAGGCACCCCCCTCAAAAAAGCTTCATTCAATTTATTGATGTGAAATGTCTTACATGTTATATATTCATCTAAGGGGGTCCCCAAGGTGTTGTTGTGGATGCAGTAGCAGACTAGGACTCTGAAGAACAGGGTTCATCTGGGGGGGGGGTTCCAAGGTGGTGTTGTGGATGCCTTTGCAGACTAGGACTCTGAAGAACACGGTTCGAATCCCAGCTCAGGCATGGAAACAAGCTGGGGGAGTGGAACTGGTAAAACCACTCTTTCAGCATCTCACTATTTCCTACTTGACAGTGAAATAAACTTACAACAGAGACATTTTGCGTTTAATTCAGTATTATAATCTTGGGGTTCCAAGGTGGTGTTGTGGATGCCTTTGCAGACTAGGACTCTGAAGAACACGGTTCGAATCCCAGCTCAGGCATGGAAACAAGCTGGGGGAGTGGAACTGGTAAAACCACTCTTTCAGCATCTCACTATTTCCTACTTGACAGTGAAATAAACTTACAACAGAGACATTTTGCGTTTAATTCAGTATTATAATCTTTTCTACTGCGACCTGGCATGTCTTTTGTGTAGGTAGGATGAGCCACCTCAAGTCCCGCATAAGTCCCGGAAACAAAATAAATAGAAACAGAAATCACCAAAGCATGATTTTGATTTTTCCGTTTATTGTGCTGGATTGTCCCCAAGCCTTTCGACCGCAATCAAAAGAAAAAGGGGAGGTCCTATGTTCTACAATCCCTATGAGGTCAAGCTATGTTTTTCCCCACATTTCTGAAGGTGCCCCAAAGGTAATCATCAAGACACTTATGGAGCAATGTACACTTCAACCTCTATAATCACAGGTGAATCAGCTATTGGGGGCCCAGACCTGACAGGAAACCCATCAATGATGCAAGGCGGTCAGAGGGTTTTCAAATTTCCACATGTCGGGACACAGAGGCCAACATGTGAAGGTCCCAAGACTTAATGCAAAGTGATGCGCCGGCTCATGGGTGGCCTCCACACCTTGTCATCTCCAGAAAAGTCTTGTTGATGATGGAAGTAAGTTAGATGAGAATTTATCTGAAGGCCCTATGATTTCATGGGGGCCCCTGGAGCACTGAGTAACAGTGAAATCAACCTGTTCTGCACAGTTTTATTAAACCACTGTAGAAAGCATGCTGTTGAACTGGAAAAGAGAAGAGAATGAAAGAATGACAGAGTTGGAGCACCTTTACAAAACAGAAAAGTGTTTCTTCTGAAGTTCTCGGGGAAGAAAGGAAAGGGGAGATAAGAAGAATGTTTAAGAGAACTTCAAAAAATGCACCCTAACCTTTTTTATATTTTCCCCCTATAGGTCAAATACATGCAGTTCCCAGTCTACAGAGAAATATCTGCAACGTCCTCAACTGTGTGAATTCTTTGATGGCTTATAAAATGTACTCAATGCCCGGAGGCCTCTGTGCACTCCAACAAGGTCTGCAGGACCTCTTTCTCCCTGTGGGTTCGGCTGTGCGATTTGAGGTGTGAGCGTTGTTTGAAGCACTTTCCGCATTCCACGCACGCAAAGAGTTTCTCCCCCGTGTGGATCCTCCGATGAGAGGCAAGATTCGAGCTCCGGCTGAACATCTTCCCGCACTCGAAGCACTGAAAAGGTTTTTCCTCTGTGTGGATTCTCATATGAGAGTGAAAGGTTGCCCCCTGACGGAAACTCTTCCCACACTGCACGCATTTAAAGGGTTTCTCCCCTGTGTGGATCCTCATGTGGGAACGGAGGGTGCTTCTGTGTCGGTAAAGCTTCCCACATTCAGGGCATTTGAAGGACTTCTCCCCTGTGTGGATTCTCATATGGTCCGCAAGGTTGCCTCTCCGAGTGAAGCACTTTCCACACTCCGAGCAGGGAAACAGTTTCTCCCCCAAATGCATTTTCATATGGCGAGAAAGATTTGAGCTGTGACTGATCTTCTTCCCACAATATGAGCATTCAAAGGGTTTATCCCCTGTGCGGGGTTTCATATGTGAAAGGTCTGTGCTCTGGCTGATGTCGTTTTCACAGTCCACATATATAAATGGTCCCTCTTCTCTTTGCATGGTCAGATCTCTTTCCGAGGATGAAGCATCACAGAAATCTTCATTGTATTCTGAGCACTCAATCATTTTCCTCTCATGGTGGATCTCCCAGGGAGCATTCAGATTGGCCTGAGAGTTGAAGGTTTCGCTGAGTACAGAGTACTCATGACTTTCTTTGCTTTGGACTATTTCTCCTTCGAGAGAAATTTCACAGAAAGCTCCAGGAGGAAAAAATTCATTTCTCTCCTCTTCGGTTTCATTTCTCCTCCTCTCCTTGTCTTCCTCTTCTTCAATGACTTTTTCCAAGCATACCTGAAGCCGCTCTTCCACAGACCTGCTCTTTCCCACCCTGGGAGCTGAAAGAAAACAGAAAACCCAACCGGGCTTTACCAAACAAAAATGTAAAAATGGAATCTCAAGGAAATCAAAACAATCATGTATAAACTATCACAATTAACCAGAAACTAGCATGCTTCCATCCTGAGCACACCACAAAATTATCTCCAACCAAGCCCTTACATATAATCGCATCTGCTCAGACCCACAAGATGGAGAATCCAAGCTGAAGGATCTACCAGAGGCATTTCTCAGACTATCTACCCCTTAAACATGGTTCAAGAACTAAGTGACTAGTCAAGTTTAAGTTTATTGTATTGGCCAAAAAGCTGTCACAATTGACTGAGATACAAATGTGATTAAATAAAATCATGATAAAATCACAGACATGTAAAATAACAAGAGGCCTATCTCGTGTAACCAAGTTACTAAGTGTAACCAAGTAACTAAGCAAAATGAATACCTATTGCAACAAAAATGTAGAAGAGAAAACAACAGAACACCACTACTTCTCACCTTCATAACTGAAACCATTCACACACATTGTAAGTGATCTGCAGCTCCTTCCTCACACACACACACACACACCTCATGCAACTATTGGCGTACAACAGCCAGGGTGGAAAAAAATCAATGATGAACTCCACTTCTTCAGACGCATAGTCATTCACGAAAGCTGACCGTGAGGTAAATTTGCCACGACACCTTTGTTGATATTTTTGTTCTCTTTGGTGATTTATTTGGCTGAATGAGACTAACGCCTCTCTGAAAATGGCTACAACGGAAAGGAAAGCTTACCCAAAGACACCACGTGGGTCTGATTTTCCTCCATGACTTCCCGGTGCAGAGCTTTCTGGGCTGCGTCCAACAGAAGCCACTCCTCCTCCGTGAAAGATACAGCAATGTCTTCAAAAGCTGCTGAATTCTGTAATAAAAGGAAGCATCTTATCCTCACAATGGTTCTACCTTTTAAAAGCACATCCAAAAGAACAAATGTCAACAATGGGCAGACCCAACCCTTCACATGTCATTTTTTTCAGACTTCCTCACAATCATTTGTAGCAAAAGCAAATCCAATGAGGAAATTTCTTTCAGTCCCAGAGAGGAAACTGAGTGTCCAGGATTTCCCCCTCCTCATCCATGTCCCCCCTACCTCTTCTGGCTGCAGAGGGGCTGCTTCCATTCCACCAAGATGAAATGAGCCATTTGCCTCCAGTGTATTTCCAGGTTCTGCAAGGAAGAACAAGGAGGTGGGAGGACATTTATTCTTCATAAACATTTTATTCCTCAACTATACAGGATTACCTCAGTTTACGAAATCAATGTGTCCTCCGGGACGTTACGTCATGCAAAAAATTCGTAAACCGGAACGCAGACTGCTGCAGCAACAGCAGCAGCGCTACAAACCTCCAGGCAAGGGAAAACTTCCTTTGAAAAGCAAAAGAAACAGAAAAAAACCACAATAAACTGAGGCATTATTTTGAACGGATTTCCATTCGTAAACCAGAAGTTATGTAAATTGAGACGTACGTAAACCGAGATACTAGTGTAAAAGCCACTCCTACCCTGCTTTGATTAACAAAAGCTTCAATGTCTACGCAAACACAGAAGATATAAAACTCATACTGTCAGCACAGGAGCAGACACAAGAGAGTGCAATGTGGGAAACTTCTGCTTAAAGGTTGTAGCTGCATTCTGTTCCAGTGATGTGTATACACTCTTGGCGGGAAGGCAGCAGCGCTACAAACCTCCAGGCACGGGGAAACTTCCTTTGCAAAGCAAAAGAAGCCAGAAAAAAAAAACATAAACTGAGACATTATTTTGAACGGATTTCCGTTCGTAAACCGGAAACTACGTAAACAGAGACGTACATAAACCAAGATACTACTGTAAAAGCCACTCCTACCCTGACTTGATTAACAAAAGCTTCAATGTCTACACAAACATAGAAGACATAAAACTCATACTATCAACACGGCATCAGACACGAGAGAGTGTAAGTCTAAGTACAATACGTTGACAAGGCTCTTACCTGGCAAGAGACCTAATAAGAGAGCTCTCAGGGTGTTGCCTGTAGGCTCCACTGGCTCGGACATCTGTTGTTGACTCCTTTGTTCTTTCTCTAAGGCAATTAGCCTTCCTTTGTTCCGCAGTCACCCAGAGTGTGAATCTAAGTACAACACGTTGACAAGGCTCTTACCTGGCAAGAGAGTTCTTCTGTTGTTCTCTTCCATGTTTTTCAGGAGGAGAGACTTCTGTGTTGAATCTGATGAAGCATTCATCGCCTGAGAAAAGCCGGAGGAGAAATTTTTCCGTTCGTAAACCGGAAACTACGTAAACAGAGACGTACATAAACCAAGATACTACTGTAAAAGCCACTCCTACCCTGACTTGATTAACAAAAGCTTCAATGTCTACACAAACATAGAAGACATAAAACTCATACTATCAACACGGCATCAGACACGAGAGAGTGTAAGTCTAAGTACAATACGTTGACAAGGCTCTTACCTGGCAAGAGAGCTCTTCTGTTCTTCTCTTCCATGTTTTTCAGGAGGAGAGATTTCTGTGTTGAATCTGATGGAGCATTCATCGCCTGAGAAAAGCCGGAGGAGAAATTTTAAAATTTCTGCACCCCACCCAGCAAAAAAGATAACTGACACAAGAACTGAGGAAGAAATTAAAGAATAAACAGTACAGGAAAGGATCTCAGAACTGGGAAGAAAAGGGATGTGCTTGGTTAGTTTATTATTATTTTTTACATGAGCACTTTCTTGGACTTTCAAAAAGATCAAAAGTCTCACCATCTCCTCTTCCTCCTTCTTATCCACTCTCTGGTTCAGGAGGAAACCTTCCGCCAAGGACACGGCTTGGGAAGTGGTTTCCGGCTTGCACTCTCTGACCCAGATCCTCATCTCTGGTGGGAGGAGAGTCAAGAACTGTTCAAGGATCACCAAGTCCAAGATTTCAGCCTTGGTGTGTTTTTCTGGTTTCAGCCACTGACAGCAGAGACGATGAAGTTGGCTACAAACTGCTCGGGGCCCTTCATCCTCCTGGTAGCAAAACTGTCGGAAACGCTGGCCCTGAACCTCTGGGCCAAGAGGCTCTCCATGGACGTTGCTCTCTGCAGTTCTTTCCAGGAATTCCTCTTGGTTCCAAACATCCATGTTATCTGGCTGTTTCTCTCGTTCGGGACCAAAAGAGTCTTCCACTTTCATCTCCTCCAAACAAACCAAGGGAATGGAATGAAGAGGCATACTTTGTCTCTCTCTGCCGGAAAGGCAAGCAAAGAACAAGACTTGAAGAAACTGCAAGAAGTGAAATGTGTTATGTTTAAGGCCCCAATCAACGCCACTTCTGGCTTATGGGGACCCAGCCAGGATTTTTTAGGATGAAGACTTAAAATAGATTTCCCAGGCCCTCCTTCTGGTGAATTATAAACCAGCTTATAAAGCTTTCTTGAACTCAATTCGTGCTTCTACCGATAATTACGTTTGGAGAGGTATAAAAGTACAGTACTTATTTAATGAAGCCAGTGAAGCACCACTTCAAGACTCTGATGGACGGCATACAAATATGCCCAATAAATAAATAAATCCCAGCTTGGCTAAGGAAGCTCACTGGGAGAGTCGCATGGAAGTCTGCCAAGTCCAAAGCACTCACTCCCCAAAATTCATGTCCCAAATCTAAGGCAATGGGGCGATTCTTTCCCCTACAGAGACCACCCCTCTCTCCAGGTAGCAATGAGAGAGAGGGGGTCACCTTCCTTAGCCCTCCCAACGTCCCAGTCTGGAAAGGTCTTCTCCCAGTCCAACCCCCCCCCCCCCCCCCAACGGGCACCCAACACTCAG